AGTTAACGTATAACTATATATTATAAAACGTTCTTACAGTTAACGTATAACTATATATTATAAAACGTTCTTACAGTTAACGTATAACTATATATTATAAAACGTTCTTACAGTTAACGTATAACTTCATATTATAAAACGTTCTTACAGTTAACGTATAACTATATATTATAAAACGTTCTTACAGTTAACGTATAACTATATATTATAAAACGTTCTTACAGTTAACGTATAACTATATATTATAAAACGTTCTTACAGTTAACGTATAACTATATATTATAAAACGTACTTACAGTTAACGTATAATTTCATGTTATAAAACGTTCTTACAGTTAACGTATAACTTCATATTATAAAATGTTTTTACCATTGCTCTTAACTAAAGCTGTGACAGGGGAAGGTCTTCCTCGTCCAGGAACTTTCAAGTATTTGGGGAATAAGTACGGAAGGGTTATTTCATCTGTGCTTCTACTACCATTTAACATATTGGCTAACTTTTCTCTGAGGTCTCGATCTTCAAGGTTATTTAGTTTTATAACATGTTCATTATTAACAGTTTTTTCAACTTCTGACGACTTGGGATCTCTGGAGAAAGACCACGATAACTTCACATTTAACTCGGTTTCATTGGATAGCAGCTCAGTAATAAGAGCAGCCTGACTAGGAGGACTGACAGCCCATACGGAGGTAGAATTTCCATTCAGTTCAACTACGGTGATGTCTCGTATGTCGTAGTTGGCCAAGAAAGTCTGTGCGGACGGATCTGATCGGTAGTAATACACCATTTTGTCCCAGTCGTTCTGTGTAAATGACTTGAGTGAATTTCTCTGTGCACTCATTTTAAAAATAGGTTCATAGCCACCAATAGTAATTTCGACTGTACAGTCATATGGACCATTAGGTAACCCCACCGTATTGCCCAAGGCGAAAATCAACAACGGAAACCAAATGATTAAAATAATAATAAAAAGTAGAAAACCTCCCACACCGTACTTAACGAGGGAAGTACGTTTAGCTCCTCGCGGAGTGGGATATTCAGCTTCTACTCTCCGGATACATTTCAAGAGATAAATATTTGTAAAGATATCTTCCATCTTTAACCAATTACCAATATTCATGCTAGTATCAGTCCAAATCCAGTCCATTAACGAACGCAGTTCATACAAAAACGGTATCAACATGTAACTAGAAATAAAGAAAAAAAACAAACTTTTCAGTGATGGTATATCAATAATTTAACCAGGCTATAAATTTCTTTTAAAATACAAAAGAATATTAAAGAAAAAACACAGGATTTTTTTTTCAAATCTCACCTCGCGAAACTTACCCTTTGAATAAGAAAAGATTAATATAGTTGTATTTCTTGCAGAAGAAATTACCAAGAATACGTGTCGGGTATCCGGACCTAATCTGGTAAGCCGAGAGCAAGAGGTAGACACACTTGATGAAGTACCAGAGTTTTGGAGGTAGAGTATTAGGACTTGTAAATTCTCTATAGAATAAAAGAAACACAAAGTAGAAATTTGTAGATAAGTTTTGGAGGTAGATGTTGGAAATGATTAATTTATTTTGTTATGTTTTGAATAGCACAGGTTTTCTGGAGAATGAAAGGTATATACAAATTTTTAAAATAGTATTTTAAACATATTCAAATTTCAATATTTTTTTTTACCATACAATCATTTTCAAGCGAAATATTAAGTTTTTATATGTTATATTATAGCTGTATTTTTAACGTTTAAATTAGATGTTCGTTCGCTAGAGAGCACACGATTCAATATCTAGAAATGTCATTATAGTTGATGATCTAGAAGTTTTGTGTAGTATGTAGAAATAAGAATATGACATGAATACGAGAATTAGTGAAATAGTGAATTATTGAGTAACTTAGTTCAATGTTATTAGGAAAAGTTATGTCCATTCAGCACATCTGTTATTGGTTTATTAGTGAGGTAATTTTGAAAGTAAGCTTATAAGTAAGTTAGGCATATGCACCATTAGTCTTGGAATTTCTGTTGAAAAGTTTATTTATAAAATTAGGCCTATAAATGAACATAACGTACTGTAGCAAACGTTATTGAAGAAATGAATAATTTTTTTACTGTTACATGGATTGGACTTGGCATTATTTTTTTCCAAATTATACAAAAGAACTCATCCAATGACAGAACATATTACAAAAATACCACACTACCCAAAACTAGTAAGCATTTTGGGATAGTTTTAAGCTAGTTAACGAAATATTGTCAATAATAAGGAAAATGTTTTACAAATATTAGATTTCAATTTCACCACTTATCAACTATTGAATTTTAAGAAAATTGAGATGTCGGGTTACCTATTACTAGCCACAGCATAGCAGCTCGTAGAACGAGTTATTTTTCAAGTACAAACTTTTAACTCGTATCACCGTCATCACTTGACCAATTTGAGTCTAATTACAGCTGCAGCTATTGAGGATTCCCTCTTGTTATTGACATACGTTTGTCAATGAATGAAATATTCTAAATCACTGCGAGCTCTTTGGGCCACTTAACTTAAGATAGGCCAAAATACAATATGGTTATGTATAATTATGCTGTTACTGTTCGATATTCAACCACTAGTTGAGAAAAAAAAAAAGAGTTGAACATTAAAAAGAAAATATAAATGAAGATAAACAAAACACAACTGCTAGAAATACTTGAGACTTTTGAATTTTTAATAATAAACTTCAGTTTAAAAGTAACAAATATTACAAGTTACAGCTTTTACAGTAAGAAAGAATACTTCTTAAAACAGGTACGACAATTCAGGAAGCAGTAAGTAATCATAAATACCTTTCTGTCACTGCGGGTAAAATGAAGAACATCCAAACGTGGACGATAAACACCAGTATAATTTGAAAGAACAGTTTCCCGAAGATGTATTTACGAAGGTAGAGAGCTCGATCAATTACAATCAAAGCAAACTGAGCAATTAACATGATTAAGAAGGGGATCGGAACCTGGAAGCAAAAGGAAAATTGGAATATAAGTTTCTTTCCTCCGAGCAAGTTAACAGATATTTTTTTGAGTAAAACATTTTTCTAATTCAGAATATAATAATTATAAGAACTGATCAAGTTGAGATATTATCCACTTGTTTACTTATTATAAATATAAGTTATATGACTTCAAGAGCAGATGTATATATATATATCATATGTCAACTACACTGTATATACTATATCCAGTGCCAAAAAGGCCCTTTGCCCAGTACCAGGGCTCATCAGTATATTTTTTTCTTAAGCTTTCTCTGTTAAAATTACATAAAATTACCAATTTAGAATTACAGAAAATATTCACTCTGAATACTGCTATGATATTATACTACAGTCAATAAATGTAATAGTCCCATACAACTTCTGTATTCACTCTGAATACTGCTATGATATTATACTAC